TTGTCTGGTAGAGTTGTCGAGTCTAGATCCTAGAGAGGATTCTGTGATGTAGTTCATCTAGTTGTGCGTGCATGCGTGTGTGGGGACAGGGGGATGCCTTACCCTGTAGCATAACCGGCTTGAACTCTCAGCAAACCTTCTCTGTTAGGCCGACGTGTGCTGGGGTCATAGTGTGAGCCATCACACCTGGCTTCCTCCTCCTGGGTTTGTGTCTCTTTCTTTCCTTTTCTTGTGTGGTTTAGTTTCTGTCTTTCTTGTTTGTAGTTTTGCCTGGAAATCCAGTGTCCCTTGGCCGTGCACTTACATAAAATGTGGTGGCTCACACCTGTAATTCCAGCACTCGGAAGACTGATGCAGATTGAGAGTTCGGGCTATAGAGACAAACCATGCCTGGAATTTTAAAAATCGTGGGAGAGTCTGGAGAGGTGGCTCAGTGGTTACGAGTGCTTACTGGTTTTGCAGAGGACCTGAATTTGGTGCCTAGCACCCGTATCAGGCACCTCTCGGGGATCTGATGCCTATGGCCTCCTCAGGTGCACATCGACACATATACACCTAAAGGAAGAGTAATAAAATGGAATATTTCAAAAACACCTTTTAAAAAATCTCTGTAGCAGGAGGCAAGAATAGGCACATGTATCCTCTGCTGGCACAAAAATGGGATGATGTCACCTCACTTTCCAGTGGAGGAATTTGCGGCTCGAAGGGGTGAATTAACCTGTGCCACTACACCTTGTAGTGACCACAGCTCGTAGGTGACAGTGGGAACTGGCTTCAGGACGATGCTCTTGGAGAGGGGGGACAGTTGTCTTGAGCAAAGATGCACTCCAGTTGACAGGGCCTCCAGAGAACAGCCGGTCCAACACCCTCGAGCGTGAGTGAAAAAAAGAGGCTCGGCATGGAGGAGGAACTCCCCCAAGTCACGAAGCGAGTCCCGGCAGAACTGCCACACCGCCCTTCTCTGTCACACCTCCATTCTGTCACTGACTCAGCACTGCCTGTGCTGGGTTCTGTGCCATGCCTGGGACCACAGACAGCAAAGCGGGGTGCTTGCTGGCCCGAAGGAGCCTTCACCCCGCTTTGTGCTGGCATTGATGCAGGCACCGAGGAGCAGGGCAGCGGAAACGGCCAGGACAGCCCTCAGGGCCTGCCGGGCCCGCACTGGGTACTTCTCATGTATTTTAGGGCATTTCAGCCTGACGGGGAGCCTGGGGGCACTGGGTCTGAGTTTTCCCCACACCTTGAACTGAGGAGCGCCCCGAGGGAAGAGGACAAAGGAGGGTAGTGTGTGTGTGTGTGTGTGTGTGTGTGTGTGTGTGTATGTGTGTGT